ACTTTCAAAATGGCGGGTGGCGGCCATCTTGGATTTGAGGCACAAAATGGCCACCAATTGCTTCCAAATGATCAAAAATGGGTTCCTTGTCCCTAATTTAGTCAGGTTTGATAATCTATACATGTTTCTAGGCCAAAAATTAATGGAAATATAAAATATTATATATTTTGGCACATAATTTGCATAATTTATGCTAATTAATGTATCGATAGAGGGCGTCTCTTTGGATAAAAAATTTTCTTTTGGCCCAAGGAACATTTATGCCAAGTTAGACATTTGTACTACAAAATGCAGCGTTTGGCCATTTTTTGGTCCTTAACAAGCCTACTAGAGGGAGGGTCCGTGTGTGTGTGTGTGAGAGAGAGAGATCTTACCTTCGTCTCCTAAGAAATACTAGTAATATGATGACCAGCATCAAAATAACGACGACCAACGATATGGCCACTGGGACACCAATTAACAGAGGGATGCTTGCCGAGTCCTCGCCATTCCCTCCTGGAATAAAAAAAAAAAAAAAAAAAAAAAAAAAAAAAAAATACTGTTTGGGACATTTTTGGAATTGACGAAGATTAAAGTGGATGATTCCAGTTAAGGTTTTACAAATGAGAAGATTTGAACGGTGTATAGATTTTCCGCAAAAGCGGGAGACGATTAAAAAAGTAGATCTCTTTTACCAAACTTTGAGGCTTCTTACAAACTGTGTCCTCAAATTTGCAGCAAATCTGCAAAAAAAGAGTTCTACTTTGCAAATGAGATAATGTTTAAATTTGAGAGGATACAAAGGCTTCTTGCAAACTTCTCGCAAACTTTTGATGCCCTTGCAAATGTGCAATAAATTTGCAGCAACTCTTTTTCTTACAAAAACCTGCAAGTAGTTTAGTTTGTAGCAAATGTCCAGCATATTTGCCGCAAATGTGCTTCAAATTTTCACTTTGCTAAGGGGCTTGTTCCTCTGTTTCGCTACGAATTGGCGGTCTCTATTTCAAAGCCACCTTTAGAAGATAAAACGATATTTCTATAAAGTTTAATTCAACACCAGTTAAAACCATCAACTATTGTATATTATAATTATTTTTGACCTTTCGAAGTCATACTACCTGCGTCATTTCCAGCTCCCTCTTTTCCAGTGGGGATTACATTCGGGATGGTAGACGCTGGCGTAACAGTGGGAAGAGAGGCAGGCACTGTCGTTACTAGGGTAGTTGAAGTAGCGAACTTGGTGGTCGGGGTAATGGATGTCGTTGTGCCGGTGGTGGTAGTAGGCGTAGTGGACGTTGTTGGTGCAGTGGTTCTTGTAGTAGAAGTAGTAGTCTCTGTGGGCTGTTTTGTTTCAACAGGAGTTGTAAATGTGTTGGAAAATGTCGTCGAAACGCATGCGGATTCCCCATCTGGACATGCGCACGTTCTGTCGTTTGGTTTGGGCAGACATAGGTATGGACAACCCCCATTGTTTACACTGCAGCCGTTTGATCCTACAATAAATTGCGATAACTCTATGTGAACATGTGTTTGATAACTCTTAGTGAATATGTGTTTGATAAAAAGAAAGAGTAATTACCAAAGATGGTGAGGTAATCGACCGTTGGAATGCATATTTTGCATAAGCAAGCAGAACAGAAAGTTGACTATAGTTACATGGAATATAAATTCTGTAAAAAATAAACTAGAAAACAAAAAGGTGCAAGAACTTTTAAGTTTATATGATATAATTTGTTTAAATGAAATTAAGTCTAATGTTGAGTTCTCCTTACCAGGATACCATATTATGAGTAAAAATGAAAACGCAAACCGAGGAGGTTGCGGTGTTCTCATAAAAGATTGGTTAAACAGATCTATAATTGAACTTGTGTGTGGTAAAGACGACTATATTTATTTCAGATTTGAGGAACACCCACAAGTAATATTTGTGGCTATTTATATTGCACCAAAGAGTTCACCATACTTTCAATGGGGGTGTTAGCTGATTTGAGTGCACTCCTCATGAATAGACCTAACGATACTTTTATAATAGTAGGAGACACAAACTGTCCATTTTCTTATTTGAGAGAAAGATTTGTAGACTCCACAAGGGGAATGTTTCCTGATGCTCGGTATAGTGAGTCGCCTGATAAATTAAAGGACAATAGTCATATAAAAATATATTTCTCGAATTTTGAAGATTCAGCACTCAATCTANGGACAATAGACACATAAAAATCCATTTCTCGAATTTTGAAGATTCAGCACTCAATCTATACACTAGAGGTATGTTTTAATAGATCCCTGCCATTTAAAAATGATAAAAACAATCTATTAGTAGAAAAAAAGCGTTTTAGTAAACCTCACCTCAATATGCATAAATGAAGCAACAGATCTGGGACACGTGGTACTGTGATGACAATGAGGATAAAGGTCTATGAGATTTAACTGAGCTGCATGGTGCATACAGACAAAATAGTTTAGGAAAGTTGTGTTGAACGGAGTTGAGCAATTTTCTTTATGCCTCAGTGTGTTGCCGTGGGATTCACCAAAATTGCAGCACTCTTTTTCTGTGACGGTCTTCCGTGACTAACTTATTAATTTCGGTGACAATAGTTGCGATGCTCGCGATCTCGGTCACCTCAGGTGTTTTAGATCATATCAAAAGCTGATAGTCTTTTAGATTGACTGTCAACAGTTGGCAAGCTTACTAATTGCTGACGCATTTTTAAATGCATTGTAGTTGACCAAGAGCTCGTTAACAATAAACCTGTTAATTATGCACCGCTGCAATTCCCAAGCCAGTTAATAACAGGTATGAAACTCGTCTTGGTGGGCTTTCATATTTTTCAATATATATCATCTCTTTCATGGGCTTATTTTATTGGTATTTGTAAATGACGTTAAATATCAATATTTAAACAATTAAGTTCAAACACGGTCGCGAACATTAATAAAAAAATTGCTC